TGCGTGTGTGTGTGTGTGTGTGTGTGTGTGTGTGTGTGTGTGTGATGATAAGAAGGTCTTGGTTCTTAGTTGAAATCTACATGAATAAAAGGAAAACCAGGGCTGGGTTTGTGGCTCAGTGGTAGAGCACTTGCCTAGTCCATGTGAGGCACTGGGTTTGATCCTCAGTACCACATAAAATAAAATAAAGGTGTTGTGTTCACCTATAACTAAAAAATAAATATTTTTTTTAAAAAGGAGAACCACTATCAGAAGGTGACAGAGGGGAGTTTATGCTGATTTTAGCTGATTAATTACAGGAAGAAGATCCAGCACTGCTGTTGCTTTCATCAGGAATATCCAGAGACAGACCAAGAGAAGAAAATGCCACTCATTCATAACCAAATTCAAGATGTCACTCTGTGCACTCTGCTTTCTCTACACAGGAATGTCAAATATGTGACATAAACAACTGGGACTAGACCAAGGGCTGTTTCACAAGAATAGTATCACAAAACCAACAGTATCTGCCCCCCCCAAAACCCCTCCTACATCAATAGTTCCAATAAATAAAAATTCATTCCTTTATTTCCCATTGTAATTATTAAAACATGCTTTCTTAAGCATACTTTTCAAAAATACTTTCAATCAACAAAAGCAGACAAAAATCCAAGGTTGACAAGATAGACAGAAAATGACTTTTTTCTAAGCATACTTTATTTAAAAATAATTATTATTGCTGTTTCAGTGCTGGGAATTGAACCCAGGACCTCAGGCATGCTAAGCATAAGCCATGCAACTGAAATATACTGCCAGCTCTAAGCATGCATTTTTATGTATTTCTCTAATACCTTATCATCTAATGCTAAAACCTCCATTCTAAAAATGAATCCACTACATATGAATATCACACATGTTAGAAAAAAGAACTGAGGTTGATAGCATACATTTGGGATACTAGTTTTATAATTTCTAGAATGAGCCATACTTCTAAGTATACCTAATAGCCAAAGTAGACTTAAAAGCTAAGTGAAAAATGACCAGTGAATGTTAAAAAACCCATGTTGATACTCACCACACAGTCTTTACTGAAAGCTGGGAAGTATCACAGGATATATGTTGGCAGTGTCTTGGCTATTCATCAAGTGGTATTTTACCTAAGACAAAATGGCATATCAAGATAAATATTTCTTATTTAACTGGCTTATTGTGCTTTTAATTGCAAAGGTAATACTTGTTTATTGCAACAAATTTTTAAAAAATATATAATTGGTAAAAAATATATAATTTATATAAAAATATAAAGAAAAAAATTCTTAAGTCATTCTTATCCAGAGATAATCAATCTTCAACAAACCCTGAATATGTGTGTGTACACGACTTTTTTTTTTTTGAGAGAGAGAAAGAAAGAATTTTAATATTTATTTTTTAGTTTTCAGCAGACACAACATCTTTGTTTGTATGTGGTGCTGAGGATCAAACCCGGGCTGCAAGCATGCCAGGCAAGTGCGCTACTGCTTGAGCAACATCCCCAGCCCCCATGACTGTTTTTTTTTTAAACAAACTTGGATTTGTACTATATATAATGGTTTTTACTCTACTTTTTTTTTGTTTCCCCAGTACTGAAATCATCATCATTATCATCATCATCATC